AATTTAATTTTAGAAAGTGCAAATCTGCTTATGAATTATAAAAAATAGTAAAACTGCTAGAGCAAAAATRAAATATTTAGGTCCRCAATTAGWGGATTTGCGCTTAGCGGGCTGGTGCCCACCACTGATTCACAGTTATACATGTTCAGGCCAAACTTATTTACTAACTGCATACATTTTAATTTAAAAACATGGCTTTTAAATCAAAGATTTCCCTTACCTTCATTTAATCATTGCATCCCTTTTTTCGCTCTATGTTGAAGTAAAAATCTGCTGAATAAATTGGGTCTGAAGGGGCTAAGAAGTCTTTGTGATACTGAAATTGTGCACATAAATGTTGGAGTGTTGTTACATTTTGGATACAGTTGAACTAAAATCGTTTTTATCAGCAGGAACTACATAATGTTGCTCTGCAAGTAAAAACTGGTCATTTTCTTTCTTTTTTGATGCAGTTGAGAAATCGATCTGCTCGCTGCCTCGTGCTGCTGGCTCCTGCACTAACTGGGTCTCGCGGTACCACTTTGACGTCATCACCTCTAAGTGTGTCCACTTCTGGTATGGAGGCTGCTATGGCAACAGCAACAACTTCATGACCAGAGCGGAGTGTCAAAGGGCGTGTCAGGTGCCCAGACGGCAGCTGGTCGAACCGGTCAGAGAGCCGGGCTCCACCAGAGAAACATCTCCAGGAGCAGGATCATCAGTTCCTGCTACGGGCTCAACAAATGGACGCTCACACAACATGGGGAGGATTTTCACGGTGCAAGGCGCCTCACAAAGCAGCTCCGGTAGACGGGCCACGAGCGCCGCTGCACACGCCCACAGAGGTCGACTGTTTCTGCGTGTTCGCCGGCCGTCAGTTCCCACAGCTGCTCAGCACAGCGAGCCGGCTGCAAGGTAAGAACCCAGAGTCAGGGAAGGTCTGAGCTCCAGTCCCCCACCACTCCTGGCTTCAGAAAGCTGTGTGCAGCCGTGTTATCACTCTTAACATCATCCTTCATCTGATGTGGAAGTTTCAAGTCTACTTTTGATTATTGCGCCAAATGGACACTTGTACTTTAAGACAGTGGTTCCCAAACCTTCCAGCTTCTGAACCTAAAAATGATAAAAGCACCAGAAGCTTRTTGGGAGCCAAATTTTCAGCTGTTAAGTGTTCCAACTTTGCTAAGAAGCCTCTTAAATTGTCACATAATGACAACAGGACCAACCACTACACCTCTGATTAATTCATGAGTGTTGTTTTTATACCAGTTACAATGAATATTGGCAATAATTTCTAAATTCAGTTTGATTTCTGTAAATCATCATGACCCACTAAAGCAGGGCTGTCCAAACATTTTGTCACATGGGCCAAAATCATAAAGTCWAAAGGACTTGAGGGCATAAAAATATTTCTCCTTTACCTGCTCAACAATAAACTAAGCACTGAATACTTTAATTAAACAAATAAAGTAGTCAGATTTATTGCTGGAAATGGACGTTTAAATTAATCTAGATCCAGACGTATAAAAGTGTTTTGCAGGTTTCCCTTATTGAAAGAATTTTTGCAATTTTCTGGGTTTCAGTTGGGGGAAAATACCCCAATTTAGTCAATTCTGATCAATAAAATAAGGATTGGTCACTCTTTCWTTGAAAATGCTTGTTGTATTCAGCCGAACWTAATAAATTAATTTAAAGCAGATTGGAGTGCAGCAAAATCAGCTTTTCAGTAGAAGTCACTAAAGCTAAGAGCCTGGTTATTTAAAGACAAATAATTGTTATTGTTGCCAATAATTCTTATTATAAGATTTTATTTTGTGATAAATTTGCCCTAATAAAAATTAGAAAGTCTCCATCAAACAGTTGTGCCGGGGGGACACATTTATAAACAAATTAGTATAATTCTTAAACTGAAGTTAGGGGCCACACAAAATCAGTTCAGAGGCCACAAATGGCCCCCGAGCCACACTTTGGACATCCCTGCACTATGGGATTCCAACCACAACTTTGGGAACCACTGCTCTGATACATTTTATGTTTACCACATCAAAGAAATTTTAAGTCCAATAAAACCTGTTAAAACAACTCTTAATTTGCAGCTATCGTCCACACTGACTGTTAACTCTTTAAGAATCTATAAACACAGAAAACCAATGAAGGATATGTGTTTCTCTTTAGTTTAGGACAAATATGTGATTTAAAAAGTAACTGGTATGTTTTTGCAGTGTTGTACAGAACATCACATAAACTTTTTTTATGTTTTGTACATTAATATTTAAATGCTGTATTCTGCTTCATGTAATGCAATCTTCATCTATCTGTTTGTGGTGCAGCTAAAGTTATCAACACTAATGTTTACAGCTGCTTCTGGCCTCACTTGCTTATTTTCCTCATGTTTAGTCACATAGCAACACTTTGTTCATTTCTTCAACCTGGACACTTCACAGCAACACTAAACGGGCAGTTTCCTGCTTTATGGACTCTTTTCTGTTTGTCTAAGTTAATGTTGGTCCTTCTTCATGTCTGCTAAATGTCTTTGGGCTCTGTGTTTTATAACAATGTCTGTTTTAAACTAATAAAATGTTTGCTGTGATACAGTCATCAGATGTGTTTCGTCACTAAACTCTGTGTTATTTTGTCATCTGTATCATTTATATTTGTGGGTGTCACACGTTTCATAATAACCACCATCTCCATCCAAGTACTGCCAGATAGTAAAGGTTCAGACATTAAAAACTAGAACAATGTACTGAAATGTTTCAAACAGATTAAGTACCTTAAACAAAAGGCAAATGGTTGAACATCTAACTCTAATCCAAAAACCAAAGCTAACTTTAACCTTCACCAAACACTGAGACTGATCATCCTTGGCTGAACTGTGCCTCATGGAAACAATCAAAACAACCAACAAAACCTGCTGAGGATTTGTCCCAAGAATCCAACAACAAACCACGTTTCCAGTTCATCCTAAAAATGTCTCATCTTTTAATTTTAACTCCTAAACTAAACAAAGTAGATACAATCTTTACCAGCCTCATACCAGCCTTGTCTTTGATTTTCTTCTCAAACACTTCAAACTAAACAAGGAAGAATTGAGGTATGAATACACACCTCACCCTGGTTGAGAGCTGAGATTAAAAACGGGTTCATCATGTGAACCAACACACACTGCTGGCTCCTTCGCTCTTTCACAAAATCAATTTGAGATAAAGCCCTGATGAATCTGAATAATCCAGATGGGAAAAGCTAAAAAATTTAATTGTTGAGTAGGTTCTCTGGACGAAGAGCTCTTCCAGATATCTTTTTTGTTACAATGTCAATGTCAAATTTATTTGTATTGCACATTAAAACAACAAAAGCTGACCAAAGTGCTTCACAGTTCAGTCAAGACTTGTACCAAAAAACAAACAAATAATGGATACAAATACAGAAACACAATACAATATATGAAAATGCTCTTAACTGAACCTCCAACTCTGTCTTAAACATWAGCCAAAGAAAAGAAATGGGTCTTCAGCAAAGATTTAAAAGCCTCAACAGTGTCTGCTGACTGAATATTAAGAGGTAAACTGTTCCACAGCTTTGGAGCAGCTATTGTAAAAGTCTGATCATCTCTAGATTTCAGTTTGGATCATGGAACATCTAACAGAAACTGGTTGTTTGACCTGAGTGCTCTGACTGGAGAGTAGATGTTAAGAAGGTCACATAAATATGACGGGGCCAGACCATTAAAAACTTTAAAACCCATCAATAAAATCTTAAAATCAATTCTCAGGTGAACAGGAAGCTAATGGAGAGAAGCCAGGACCGGGCTTATGTGTTCATGCTTTTTATAGCTGTTAAAAGACGAGCTGCTGCGTTCTGGACAGTCTGTAGGCCATGCAGAGATGATTTATCTAAGCCAGCATACAAACAATTACAATAGTCCAAGCGAGTGGTAATAAAAGCATGAATCACCTTTTCAAGGTCATTGGTGGGGAGATGTGATTTCACTCTAACAATTAGGATTAATTGGAAAAAACTTGATTTTACAACTGAATTAATCTGTTTTATCCAATTTAAAGTCACTGTCAAAGAGAAAACCCAGATTCCTGACAGTAGAATGACTGTATGAAAATAGAGGGCCAGTGTCATCTGAATTTACTTTACCAAAAGTGATTACTTCTGTTTTACTCTCATTTAGATTCAGAAAGTTTAATTTTAGCCTGGTTTTTATATCATTCAGACAACTGAAGAGTGGTTCTAATGGAGCGTTGCTGTTCAACTTAATGGGCATATACAGGTCCTTCTAAAAAAATGAGCATACTGTGATAAAGTTCATTATTTTCTGTAATGTACTGATAAACATTAAACTTTCATATATTTTAGATTCATTGCACACCAACTGAAGTAGTTCAAGCCTTTTATTGTTTTAAAATTGATGATTTTGGCAAAAAAGTAAAGAAAAATCAAAAATCACTATCTCAAAAAATTAGCACATTTCATCCGACCAATAAAAGAAAAGTGATTTTAATACAAAAAAAAGTCAACCTTCAAATTATTATGTTCAGTTATGCACTCAATTCTTGGTCAGGAATC